AGACCCACTGAGGTTGCAGAGGAAGATATCCTACTGTGTGAGAGCCGTTACATTGAGACAGAGAAGACAATGAAGAAATTCAAGGGTTTGAAACGGTTCTCGTACACCTCCAAAGTGGTGGAGGATGAGGTTTATTATTTCAGGTTTGGGAACTAAATTATATTGTTTTATTTCTTAATGGAGCCAATTTATTTCCATCTGTTTTATCTTTCGTTTGTTTTGATATATTTTATAGGAAACTGATAGTGCCGCAAAAGGAAGCGTCACCCTTCTTGGACAAAAAAATAGATGAGCTTGAGGTGAAGCTGGCTGACATGGAGGATGGAGATGATGACATGGATGACATGGATGAAGATGAAGACGCTCCAACAACGCCCTCTATGCCTCAGATGCAATCCTCTCTTACAAGTGACATGGACATTTTGTCCTACACACCTCAGGTATTCATACACTTGTAAAATAAAACTGCATTTTATTTTACAATCAGAAGCTTCAATTTCTTGCTGCTGATGTTACAATGGCTTATTTTTAAAATATTTATTATTAAGGCAACTCCTAAGGTAAAAGGGTTGGCAAAGAAGGAAGGAGCCAAAAGAAAGATCAACATGAGTGGCTACATCCTGTTCAGCAGTGAAGTGCGAGCAATCATCAAAGCTCGACACCCCGATTATTCTTTCGGGGAGCTGAGTCGTCTTGTTGGCACGGAGTGGAGAAACCTTGAAGCTTCTAAGAAAGCTGAATATGAAGGTGAATCATTAGGACCTGCACGCCGGATCAGGGCCTCTGTGTTAGCAGATGTCAACCAAGAAACTGTTTTTATATTTCAGAGCGTGCTGCCAGGATAGTGGAGCAACAAGAACGTGACAGGCCCTTCAAGCAAGGTTCCCCTAGAGCAGGTACCCCTGTAGGGGCACTGATGGGGGTGGTGCCTTCGCCTAGCACTATGGGAATGATAAACCAGTCCATGACACCTGTGTCAGGTAACCCCTCTCAGAGACAGCACGAGTGTTTGACAACAAGGCAGCAGGAAAATGAGGCTGGACTGTTTGAAAACCTTGACCTTCTTTTAACATTTTAGGCCTGTTTTGACATAAAACCACATCCTGGAAGCATTTCATTTCTTCTTTTGCTTCTGTTACATATTTGATATTGTCATCATCTCCAGTTTCATGTGTGATTTTGCATGACAGTGACTGCATGATTGACTTTTTAACCAGGAATGTTTTGTTATCAAATTTTTCATTTTAATATACAGTTTTTTTTTGTTTGTTTGTTTTTTTTTTTACATTTATTCATTTTCAAACATGTGCATTGTCAGCCCCTTTCACACACTGCATCTTCAGCATTACCAGTTTTTGCTAATTAGGTGCAATTTTATTTTCTAATAACTCACACAAAGCTTTTCTGTATTCCTCACTCATGCATGTATGCATGTTGATTTTTTGAAGATGTAGAGCCAATGAGAGACAGATAATTTTTCAGTCTACTTGAAATGATCAGTTTGGATTAAATGAAGGAACTTTATGCTCACAAACAATTCCTAAGGTTATATCGATGTTTCGGCTTTTTACTCCCTGCTTAAGTTACACTGCCGGTCCAGGAAAGGTTACACACACCGATATTTTGTTTGACCACCTTTAGCTCTGGTTACATTGTAGATTCACTATGGCAACAAAGTGATAACGTCGCTAAATCTAGATCAGACCAACTGCAACGACAGCAGATCATAGTATTGCTACATATGCTTTTGTTCTGTTTACGCTAAGCATTATCCTCCGTGGTAAATTAAAGCCTTTTGTTGTGATCAGCCTCACTAATCAGTTTTTCTTTAGACTACACAACTGTCCAGAGTTCCTTTTCACATTATGCAAGTGGAGACAGGCTTAATGTCACTGTTGAAAACTTGGCAAAACCTTCTTTGTCTTTTTACCTACATAGAACTCGTCCAAGTTGCTTGCATATAAACTGAAGTGCTCAGCACACACACACACACACACACACACACACACACATATATTTATTTATTTTTTGGTGGGCGGGGTGTAAACTGCTACACTTCCATTCAGTAAGTCTTAAATAGGGAGGAAACTTGACTGAAACATAAACGTATGTTCTGAAGGTGCATGTGTGAAAAGGGCAAATGTGTGTAGTAGCAGTAGTGCATGTTGTTTTAGAGTCAGCTGCATGTAACTTATGCATGAATGTGTTGTGCTCTCCTCGCCTTCTTCCCAAAGGCATGATGGGAGCTTACGGCCCACCTTACATGCCCATGCAGGGCCCCCACGAGGGTTTGCTGAGTGTGGCCCCAATGCCACCTCACCCTGCAGGGGGTCCTAACCTGCTTCCTCACCATCTCCACCAAGGCATGCCAGGGTATCCGAACATGCCACATCAGGGTAAGGGCCCGACTGTCCTAGCCACACCTGCTCAGTCACATGCGGTGGTGTCTCTCCTGGTGGAGGGGTTTACCTGGTCCACAGGCTGCAAAGCCTGAGCTTCACACGCAGCTGAGAAAGCTCCCCGTTCTCAAACAGCCAATATTCTCTCACTTAACGCACCTAATGTACAACATCCATATTCATACACATATTGCATGATAGAGCTGATACCAGATCACTAACATTTAACTGATATTGATAGACTAACAATTTTAGAGGTTGTTATAAGTCCTAATGTAAAGAAAATCCAGCAATAAGAACCGACTCATGGGCTTTTTTAACCTAAGGCCAGTTATGTCTTATATTAGGTATGATGGGAGCTGGTATCAATGGCATGGCAGGAAGTCCTGGGCAAAGCAACTTCATTCAGCAGGTGAGTAATTTATTTATTTATTTCTTCTTATTTTTTAGTAAATAATCATATTTAGTGTGTTTGTAGTCATATTGATTCCTCTTTAGCTGCACTTAAATAGAGAAGCAGTTATTGTAGTGATGCAACAATGTTGTAATTAACATTTAACTTTGATTATTTTCTATTTCTTTCAAGCCTGGCATGTTCAGTCCGGGACAGCATGCTCCTCCACCATATCCAGGACAGGGCCAGCCGTCTCACTTGCAGCCGACGACTCCAATGTTTGTGGCACCACCACCAAAAACACAGAGGGTGCTCCACTCAGAGGCCTACCTGAAGTATATAGAGGGATTAAATTCTGAGTCAAACACTGTCAGCAAGTGGGACCAAATGCTGAAAGGTGCTTCTTTCTGCTCCCTTTAGGCTTATTAGTGTGAATGCTGTATAGGCATTCATTACTAGTGTGGATGCTGTAGGCATGTTTTTATCAGAAGGAATGGGGAATGTTTATGTCCTTTTCAAATTTTAGGGGTGACATGAGGCTTTTTTTTTTTTTTTTTTTTACATTTCATGAAATATATTACAGTAACCCAGCATGCTACTGGTAGCCAATTTGCTATCATTAGTATTTTAGCTAATTTTAGTTTTTTAGCTAATTTTGGCTTTTATGTGGGGTTTTCACACTGCATGGACTATTTCTTACCTTTCTGCAATTCTTCAGCAGTTGGCGTCAAACGCTTTTGCCATTTTTACCAAAAGCATTGAGCATAGAGCATTCAATCTTGCTTTTTCATGGGAAATGCACACTTTCTAGTATCTGTTTGTCTTTGTAAATTTTATGAATTACGTTGCAAGATCTACATTTATAGTATTTTTTTCTGGAACAATAAAACTTAGAATATGTCTTATTCATGTTTTTACACACTTCAAAAAACGTGTTCGTGGTTCTGCTTGCTTAGTTTTCAGAAGTTTCATGCCCTTTGATTTTTCCACTTTTTATCGAGAAGCAAATCACAAATAAAAAAAAAAAAAAAGTTGTGTGTAATCCTGAAATGAAAGGACATGCAAGGTTTTAGGTTTTTTTTCCTCATAAAAATCTGAAAATTGAGGTGTACACTTGTATTCAGATCCCCTATGTTAGCATTGTGGTACTTATCTCAAGTACCAGCTGCAAATCTTTTGGAGTCTGTGTCTATAAGTCCTGCTCATAGAGAGAATAAAACGGTTGTATGTTAAGTCATTGTCTTCTTAGCTTGTGAATCTCTCCCACAGTCTCAAATATTTGCTGGCTTCAAAAAGGTTTTCTTCTAGATATGCCTTGTACAGATCTGCCTCCAATTTTCCATCAACTATGAAAAACGTTCCCCTCTCTTTTAGACTAGGAATAATGTATTCAACTTATATTCAAACGTTTTTCCACAAAACGTAGCACCTGCATGTAAGCTAGAAAGTAAAGTTTTTAGTCTCATCTGACCAGAACATGTTTTCCTACAGATTTGTGATTGCACCATTCTCTTTGTATTTACAAATGATTCATGTACAGCGTTCCATGAGATGTTCAAAGCTTGGAATACATACTTCTTTGTGTTGGTCTACGACATAAATTTTAAGTGAAACAATTTGAAGGCTGTTGCGGTAACACAAAATGTGGAGACGTTCAAGTTTGAATATATTTGCAAAGCATTTTAAATCAGTAAATTATTCTTTTTCACAGCTCAAAGACGTGATGCCCATCTGACCAAAGAGCAGGAGAGTCGGCTTCCAGCACACTGGCTGAAGAGCAAAGGAGCTCACACAACCATGGTGGACGCATTGTGGCGTTTGCGTGACCTAATGTTGAGAGATTCTCTGAATATCTGTCAGGCGTACAACCTGTAACCTCCCACATAGTACCACTCACCTCAGTAATGACTCTTTATCCTCATGTTCTTAAACTGCTAGACCATAGAAGCAATATTTTATAGTGAGTAATGACCACTTTTATATTTATCAGCTTAATAATAAACTCCATAGTGTGTGTTTTTTAAAAAAAAAACTATTTGAAATAATAGTGACGCTAAGCCTGTAATTTTATTTTAAGCTTTTCTTTTTTGATGTGCAACCAAAATAAAATTATGATCTCCTTTTACCTGTTGTAGGTTAATTATTTAATGCGTTTCTAAATTATTTTGGAATTTATTTGAAGTACTTCCTGTCTGATGTTGTCATATCCTGGAGAGAATTAAGTCTGTGCCATTCTCTTTAGTGTTTGCCCTGTCCTCCCAATGTTCTCCTCTTAGCCGCCCGCGTTTTGACAATAAACTAACACACCGACGCTAGAAACTGGAACCAAGAAAAACAAACCACTTCAAGCCATCAGTTCGTATGGATTGATTTAAAATCTGAAGACAAGGAGCGACTAGGTGAGGTTGGTTTTCTGCTCAGAGTTGTCGGCATTAGCCTGATAGCTAGCGGCTTTGATTCACTGCTGTACGAATCGCCGGCAAATTAAATATCAGACTTGATTAGTAGAGGCAATGTCAAGCTTCTGTTCTGGTCTATTATGGGTTTTTCGTCATATCTACACCATTTTTGAAAATCCTAGCTTTTGATTCTGCGAAAATTAAACCTCTTGTGGCTTTCCAGCGAGAAAGCTGCTTTGCTAACATTGTTTTAGTAGCAAACCGGCGGCCTGATTTATTTTGGGAACTTAAACATGTTCTTAGCTGACAGTGGTATTTTCTAAGGACAGGTTGCATAATCACTCAAAATAATGTAGTTGACCTTTATTGTGTTTCTGCATGTGCCTTTGCGTGCTCGTATGCGTCAGCTAACGGGCTAGCGTACAGGTTAATCTCATAGGAACGGAAACATTTAAGGTGACATTTCATCTGCAAGTCGGGTGATGTCAGGTAAGGCAGACTGACACTTGTGAATTGACGCACCAAATGTGACTAAAATTGGGGGTTTTAACGCCCAAATATACATATTTTGACTGCACCAGAGCGCACATTATTCGTGACAAAAGAAAATTAATGTATGGAGGATAGACTGATGAAATCCAGTTAAGCAGTAAAAAGCCTGCAAGTGTCTTTGCTCAGATTTTACATCATCATGGCAGGAGGAGAGCTTTCACCTCTACAAAAGGTTCATGTTATCTACTGTAGCATTTATTCATTGGGTGATTTAGATTAATGCAGCATTTAAACAATTTTACAAACTATAGGACTGCAACCCATCAACCCCCTCATTGAAATAGCATCCAGAAGTAGTGGGTCAGCTACACAGGTAACTGAATTCAGGTGTTTCAATCACTATCACGGGTGTATAGAGTCATTCACCCACTAGGGATGTCGAACTCTGTTCCCTGTAACTTGGAAATGTGTCCTTAGTTGAACACATCTGAATCAAATGCCTGAAATTACCTAGTCAAGATGCAGTCAAGTTCTCCAGTGTCCTGCTAATGGATCTAATTATTTCAATATGAATATATTGAAATAATAACTCATCTAAAGGTTGCAGGACACTGACCCTTGAGGACTGGAGTTTGACACCTATGAGTCCTGGGCTTGTATTCCTAGTACTTAGAATTTCTGGAATTGTAAGATTTCTCTTAGAATTGTACCCCAGTAAGATTAAAGTTATTCACAAAACACCTTAGGCCTTATCATAGCTGTTAACGTGACAAATGTTAGCAGTAGAAAGAGCCTAAGAGTGTCTTCAGCAGGAAAAATACATAAAATACATGTCTATATAAAATACATAGAGCTGATACTGTGTGGCAATGAATTTAAAATGTATGTAATTTTATCATAATTTCATTATGTGCTTGGTTAATGTCTATTAGCTGATTATTAGGAGTGTATTTACTTTCTTTTTTAAGAAAAAAAGCGATAGCAGTCAAAACTTGACCTTATTGATTTCAGAAAAAAATCAAGAAGTAGATTGATTGCAATGCAAAGCATCAGAGGCAGGGATGCACACATCCACTGGTCTGTAGAGGATCATGTCTCCTTGTCTGGTAATCCAATTAGTCTGGATTGCTAGGAGAACCGACTATTGCATCCTGCATTTTGCAAAGTATGATGCTTTCACAGACAGATGATTATTTGTTTTAGGAGTTTATTTTCTTTCCTTTTTTATTTATTTATTTTTTTTATAGAAATTAAGGTACCGGAGTTTGTAAATGAACTTGATTGGCCTGTAAAAGTCCCTATCTCAGCCTGTTGAAACACCTCTGGCATGATTTGAAGTGCTCTGAATGCAGTGCTACGTTTTTTCTGGAACATGTTGTATATTTCCTACTCTGCAGATTTCTCATCTTGACTTCAGCATCAGAGCAAAAGAATGTCTCAACTCCAGTTTCAGTGTCCGCCTAGCGCCATTCCTGCTTCCTCTGTTCCGCTGCAGCTGGGACAGCCGCAGCCTGGCTACAGCATCCCGTGTGCTGCAGGCGCCCTTCCATCAGAGAGCGCCAGTCAGCCAATCAGAAGCTCTGCTCTGCCCGCGGGCTCCGCCACTCCCTATAACACCACCACTGGTCTGTTTGCCTTCAAATATATTTAGTCTCCTAAATATGCTGATGCATCTTGAAACACATTGTTTTACCATTTCAGTTGAAAAAATTAAACTTCTATTGATCTTGTACACAGTAATATATTTCACTATTTATTTATTTATTTTTGTGAATGAAAACACAAAATTCTGTTTCTCAGATAATTAGGTCATTATATGTGCCAATAACACGAATTTAAGACTTGTGGAAAAAAAATAAGTCCATACAGTGCATGGTAAATGCTCAGTTCTTGATTGGGGCTCCTTTTGATGTTGCAGCTTTTTAAGAATAAGAACCCCCAAGTTAGTCTGTAGAAACTCCTTTACCTCATCATTTCTGCACTTAATTTTTTTTCTTTTATGCAACATTCAAAATTCGTACAGAACAAATTTTTTGTTTGCTTTAAGCCATGATGATCAAAGTTAACATTAAACTCTTGACTCAAATATCTCTTTATGTACTCGGATTTTCTGAATTGAATTATTTCAATACAGGAACCCAAGATTTTAGGACCATGTTTGGTGGTTGGTTGTGAGTGACTTATTTTGTTTTTTTATAGTTTATAACATGGCAAACCCTAAAGAGAAGACCCCCATGTGTTTGGTGAATGAGTTAGCCCGTTTCAATAAGATCCAACCTGAGTATAAGCTTCTTTCTGAGCAAGGACCAGCTCACTCCAAGGTACACGTCTCATACCAGGATTCAGTTCTCTGACTTGTTTTGTGCCTTTTATTCAGATGAAGTGATTTTCCCTTCAGATTTTCTCGGTGAGGCTCACACTGGGAGATCAGTACTGGGAGGCCGAAGGAACCAGTATCAAGAAAGCCCAGCATTCTGCTGCTGCATCTGCCCTTGCCGAGACGACGCTTCCCAAACCCACACTGAGGACACCCCGCAACACCGGCAGGAACCCAGGTGGGTCGCTCAAACTTGCTCTGGTCCAGTCTGAGTAATCATTTTCAGAGAGGAAAATGAACACATGAATTTTGTCTGAGAGGAGTTTCTTGCTCTTTGCTTTACAGTAGATGGCAGCACACACACAATGGAGTTGAATGCACTTTGTTTGAAGCTTGGTAAAAAACCTAACTTTAAACCCATCGACCCATACCTGGGTATGCGACCACCAAGCTACAACTACAGTGTCCGTGCTCCAGGACCTTACCAGCGTTCTATGCAACAGTGAGTTTGCATCACAGGGGCAAAAAAAAGTCAATATAATGTTTTCATAATTGCCATTTGCAGTTGGTGTAAACTGTCTCATTGTGTCCAGGTACTACTATCCATTTCCTCCAGTGGGACCAATAATTTACCACATGGAGCTTTCCGTCGGGAGCCAGCAGTTCATTGGGAAGGGACGGACGCGGCAGCAGGCCAAACACGACGCCGCTGCCAAAGCCTTGAAAGTGCTGCAGAAGGAGCCAATGCTGCAGCAGTTGCCAGTGGTGAGAAAGAAGAGCAGCTCAGCATGAAAAGGCTTTTATGCAGTGGTAGATAGAGACTCACAACTTTTCTATTTTTAATGTTGTTTTTAACAGATGAACGGAGAGCTTGAGGAGGAGAACTTGAACAAATCAGAAATAAGTCAAGTGTTTGAAATTGCTCTAAAAAGGAACCTTCCTGTCAACTTTGAGGTTCGAATGGATTTGCTGTTCTCATAGATCCAGCTACATAGGAATAACAAGGGATTGCATGTCAAATATATATTGTTACATGGAAGATCACTGTTTTTCCCACACAGATTTTAAAGGAAGAAGGGCCTCCACACATGAAGAGTTTTGTAGTGCGTGTTATAGTTGGGGAGTTCGTGGGAGAGGGTGAGGGCAAAAGCAAAAAGATTGCAAAGAAGCTGGCAGCTGCCGCAGTGCTGGTGGAGTTAAAGAGGCTCCCCCACATACCCAGTGTGGAGAAGAAGCTGCCACGCATCAAAAAGAAAACAAAATCTATAATCAAGGTGATGCAACTTTTAACGCTGGTTGGGATTAGTCAGGAGAGGCCTAAAGGCTGTTCATAAGGTAATGATTTATCCATCTTGTCAACAGCTGCAGACCAGCCCTGAGTATGGCCAGGGGATGAATCCCATCAGCCGCTTGGCTCAGATCCAGCAGGCCAAGAAGGAGAAGGAGCCAGAGTATAGCATGGTGACAGAGAGAGGTCTGCCGCGGCGCAGAGAGTTCGTCATGCAGGTGAATCATCTGCAGTTTGAGGCATGCTGGCAGTCATGCTTCTGTTTGCGCTTCTTTGCTTGTTTATTCTCTGTGGGATTTTTGGTGATTTCCATCTTCTGTTGCAGGTGACTGTGTGCGGCCAGACTGCAGAGGGGCTGGGGCCGAGTAAGAAGGTGGCCAAGAGGAATGCAGCCGAGAAAATGCTGGAACTGTTGGGATATAAAGTGCCTCAGCCTCAGCCTCCCAAACCAGCACTCAAATCTGATGAAAAGGTACTGCTCAGTTTAAAAAAAAAGTTTTGTGAATGTATTAATTTCAAAGGAAATGCAGCACAACTTTTACAACATCTCCTTTACAGTTTTTGAATTAGTTTTATTAATGTCCCAAATAAAAAATAAACAGAGAGAAATCAAGACCAACTCGGCTCAGAACTTGGCCAAAGTGATGACATCACCTACAAAAACCTTGGCTTGTTCACTGACCTCCTAAAAGAACAGTGATGGTAAAGGCCTAAATGTTAATGTGACTTACTGCCTGAGTTCAAAATGTGAAAATTTATCCTTTGAAGAGAAGGAGCAACAAGCTGGCAATCCTCACTGTGAACAAAAAAATATGTATCCAGAGAAAAAAAATATTCTGTTGACATTAAGATGAGAGTAATTTGTACTTTAATTACAAACAGGATTGTTTTTGAAGTGCACACAAGATTCAGCACTGATTTTGCTGAGCTTTGCTGTGATTATGAAACATATTGGCAATAAATGGAAGGGGCAGAATGTCTCACTTTTCTCCACTTAATCACTTTGAGTTTTACTCACATTAGAGCTAAATTGCCCTAATGCAGCTGTCAAAACATTTTTAGGCCGTCATCTGGACCCTCAGAACTGTTTAAATCTGCCTACAGCTGGTTTTCTCTCAATGGCTTTTCATTTTGCCCTGAAAAGACATTTCAAGCTAAAGCTGCACATTTTTGATATTTTATGTCAAAACAATGGGTAGTTTTGTTCTGTTGCTTTAGGCAACTTCTCCTTTTACAGGGGCATGACTCCAAAAGGCTCTTTTTTTGTTAGAAAAGTGTAAAATAAACCACGTTATTTGAACCCAGGTAGATTTTTTTTTAATTATTTTTTTATGCTTTTAACATTTTTACCTCTCCTGGCTCTAAAATGATATTTGCAATTTAATGTTATAAATTCCAGTAAAACATATTTATGTGACTTGATATTTTTTTCATTCAGACGCCGGTGAAAAAGTCATGTGATGGGCGCAAAGTGACCTTCTTTGAACCAGGTTCTACAGAGGAGGTGTCAACGGGTAAGTCTATTAGAGTCGCCTTGAATGGGTTAAAAAAAAAAAACATCACAAGCATCTTCTCACATGGGTGTTCATGTCAGGCTCCAAGGAGGAGGACTTCCGCTTGCCTTACCTCAGCCACCAGCAGCTGCCTGCAGGTATCCTGCCCATGGTGCCCGAGGTGGCGCAAGCAGTCGGGGTCTGCCAAGGATCCCAGGTCAAGGACTACAGCCGAGTTGTGCCCAACCCAGGCAAGACCACCATCACTGCCACCATTGCCAACGAGCTGCTATACGCCGGCACGTCCCTGACCGCTGTGACGATCCTAAAGAATACAAACAACATGATCCAGGTTCCCCACGGACCGCTCACCAGACCCTCGGAACAGCTTGGCTATCTTGCGTCTGTACAGGGTCTGCAGGTGAACAGCACTTCACCTTCATTAAAGCATGAATTTTATAATTGGCTGTATTTTTTTTTCTATAAGTATGTGATTTGCTTGCAGGTTGAATACAAGGATTTTCCCAAAAACAATAAGAATGAATTTGTATCGCTGATTAACTGCTCCTCCCAGCCTCCGCTCATCAGTCATGGCATTGGAAAAGACATAGAGTCCTGTCATGATATGGTAAGAAACTGAAATATAACTACTATAAAATTATTTATGATGTCAGAAAATATCCAGAATCAATTTATAGCCACTAAAATAACCCAAATTAGCCGGAAAGATGTTTATTATATTTAGATATGTTTATTTTAAAATATGATGCAAAAAATAATGATCACAAGAAAACAAAGCTTAGTTTTGCATAGTACTAGTTTAGCATTGATCATAGTTAACAAGAACAAAATTAAACATGAGTTCTGGTGGGTAGAAGGACACCGTGTCCAGTTATCCCTAATTATCCACATATGCAATGTATACATATGTAGTCTTAGAAAAGTACATTTTATTTGCATAGCAACTTTATTAATAAAATTCTCAGTCTTTCACAATAAGAATGCATAGAACTCAAAACGGGATTCAAAAGGCAAAACAAATTAAGATACAGATTATTCACAAATAAGCATTGAAAATGGTTTAAGAAAAAAGTTTGGATAAAAATGCCAGCTTTTTAAATGAGAAACCCTCTTTCTTCAAACTGATGGGAGCAGTTTGGAGCTGAAATGAACTGAAATATCTTAAGACATTTAAATCCATTGGAGGAATGCAGTTTTTTGTTTGCAAAATACCTTGAAAACCATGCACTTGTTTTTAGGCCCGAGCAGCTAAGCGCTGCGAAGGCCTATTGTTTCTGTACTGTTTCTTATTATTATTATTCTCCCTCCAAATGAATTGGCTTTTTGGGGGCTTTATCATATTCAAAAACTCACCAAACTTGGCAGAGGCCTTAAGCCTGTTTCAAATTTACATATTTTAAAGTCGTCGCAAAAATCCCACAAGAAATGGCTCAATAGCGCCACCTAGAAATTTTCAAAGGACCCTTTGCTATTCACTTACTTCATCGTAGAGACATGAAATTTGGTACACTTGTAGAGCTCCCCAAGATGCTCAAAATTTACAATTAATGTCATAGTGCAAGTATCACAGGAAGTCAGCCATTTTGGATTGAAGGTCAAATTTTCACCCCATTTTTGCCATTTACAGCCTTCGTATTTGATCGAACTCCTCCTAGGGATTTCCATTGATCGGCTTCAAACTCGGTCAGTCTGTTCATAAGGCATGTCCCATCTAAAGTTATCAAAACTGTGAGTTTTTGAGTATGCTGAAGGGGGGTAAGCAGGGGTCAAAGTTCACCTACTCGCCATAAAAAAATAAACTGCTATATCTCCTACACAGAAACTCACAGAGGCACCAAAGTTACTGTGATTGATCATCATCGGGTCTCCTACAATATCCTATGGTCAAGTGATGACATCACTTAGGCCACGCCCCCTGAGAACAGGAAGTGTAATGTTTTACTGTGGACGGTCGCTATCTGACCCCTTTGACCTCATCAACATGAAACTGTGCCCAGACACAGAAAACATGTTGGTGTATTGAGGATTCCAACCCCGACCACATTCGATGGAGCAGGTGGGCGTGGCGGCGTGGCGAAGTGACCTCTAACGCCATCGCCATACGTTTGGCTCTCAATTCCACATTTTCGGGCCAGCTGCTGCAAACTCACAAGGATGGATCGACATCACCTCCCCGACAGGAATCCATCACAATATTTGTGGGGCGTGGCCTAATTTCTCTATAGCGCCCCTAGAAAAATTTAAATGATCAGCCCCAAGCCATGCTTTAACCTACAATTACGAAACGTTGTACACGTGTGTACCTTGTCAGGACTTACAAAAAAGTCTCTTGGAGCCATGGTCGAAACCCCACAGGAAGACGGCCATTTTAGATTGAAGTTCAGATTTTGACCCCATTTTTGCCGTTTACAGCCTTCCTATTTGATCGAACTCCTCCTAGGGATTTCGATTGATCGGCTTCAAACTCGGTCAGTTTGCTCATAAGGCATGTCCCATCTAAAGTTATCAAAACGGTGAGTTTTTGAGAATGCTGAAGGGGGGTTAGCAGGGGTCAAAGTTCACCTACTCCCCATAAAAAATCAACTGCTATATCTCCTACACAGAAACTCACAGAGGCACCAAAGTTTCTGTGATTGATCATCATCGGGTGTCCTACAATACCCTATGGTCGAATGATGACATCACTTAGGCCACGCCCCCTGAGAAAAGGAAGTGTCATGTTTTACTCTGAACGGTCGCTATCTGACCCCATTGACCTCATCAACATGAAACTGTGCCCAGACACAGAAGACATGTTGGTGTGTTGAGGATTCCAACCCCGACCAGCTTCGATGGAGCAGCTGGGCGTGGCGGCGTGGCGAAGTGACCTGTAACGCCATCGCCATACGTTTGGCTCTCAATTCCACATTTTTGGGCACAGCTGCTCCAAACTCACAAGGATGGATCTTCATCCACTCCCCGACAGGAATCCATCACAATATTTGTAGGGTGTGGCCTAATTTATCTATAGCGCCCCCTAGAAAATTTTAAATGATCAGCCCCAAGCCATGCTTTAACCTACAATTACGAAACTTTGTACACGTGTGTACCTTGTCAGGACTTACAAAAAAGTCTCTTGGAGCCATGGTCTAAACCCCAGAGGAAGTGAGCCATTTAGATTGAAGTTCAGATTTTGATCCCATTTTTGGCGTTTATAAACCATTTCAGTAATTCGCCACTTGGGGTCAGTATTGCTCCACAAATGAAACAGCAGATAAACAGAATGAAGAACAATATCAGTATTTCGCCAGTAGGTCAGTGTTCCTCCACCAATGACAAACAGATCCACGGGCGGATGGGCGTGAAAACTTTGTGAGAGCGTTGCCATGAAATTTCTAAAAGGATAGAAATGTCTCAGATAATTTTTGTTGAATTAAATCATGCAGTAAATGTAGCGTTTTCTTACTTCTTACAAACCATTTCAGTAATTCGCCACTCTGAGTAAGTATTACTCCAACAATGAAATAGAGTTCTTTAGAAACACAGCTGAAAATGATGAAAAATGACGAACTGTAATACTTCGTCATGTGCATATGATCGGCTGTAAATGACACGTGGATCATCCGACTGACGCCAAATTGGATACGTATGACCTTTGTTGACCTCTAAAGAGAACAACAGCATTGAAATATATTTTGACTCCACTGCGCGTCCTACATTAATCCGCCAGCTATATTTCCTCGCTAAACCAATGAATCTGCACCACATTTTATGCATCGTCAAGGAGCGCATCCGAACGCATCAGTGCGTACCACCTGGTGGACGGGCGCGGAAACTGCGCAACAACTTCTGTGTTAGCACGTGGCCAGCGTTGATGGAATCTGAGCAACAGCTTCCGCGGTGCGGGCGGAGGAGCTGAAAACTGCGTGAGAGCTTCTGTGGTGGCTGGCGTGAGGCGGCGGTTGCTCGTACCCCGGTGGCAATAGGCCGGAGCGGCGCTTGCCTGCGAGGGCCGTACGAGTCTGCTTGCAGCTTTAATTTTTTTTTGTTTTTGTTTTTTTTTCCTATTTCACAAGTATGTCCTGCTTTAAATACTAATAAAATACAGTTTGGTTTGTGTTTGTTACATCAAAAAATGTGTTGAAATACCAATATTTTGCTTGTAGTTTTGCAGATTCATGAACACAGCCCATGTTTTCAGCCTCTTTTTTTGAGAAGACAAAGTTGCAGATGAATACTTAGCAATAAAAAAATGTGACAAATGTCCATTAGTGGGTCAAACGTTTACTTTGCTGAGTATTGAAACTCTTCAATGGTTTGGACCTTTGAGTTACTGTAATGCAAGAGAAAAGGCATTGTTAAACCTGGTGCTGAGCGGAATGGGCTTCAGTGTAATAAATGTTATTCCTTTATCTCTGCAGGCTGCTCTGAATATATTGAAGCTGCTGTCAGAGTTAGACCAGCAGCCAAACGAAAGGACAGGACCAGCCTCAGGGTAAGATGTCAAGAAATGCCAAGTTCACATTTAGTTAAGCATTTATTCACCCATGAAATCATCAACATGCTTACAATTAAACTTAGTATTTTTATTGGAGGTGAAAATATATGTTTTATTTCTTTAGTTTTTTATTTGTGGTGTTGGTTATTGAATTACTTTATATTCAAATGAAAATTTAAAAAAATGGACAACTTATTTAAAGTAGGTAGATGCAATGTCTAATAAAATTTTATTTGAAGAAATTCAAGCCGAACTTTAGGCTCTCATGTTGAAATATCTCCTCTCTTATTTTGAGAGGGAACAATCCTTTTTAGAATATTTTACTCTGCATTTCTCATTCTACTCTGTATTTCCCCCTGTCTGATCAGCCTTACAGCAAAACTGAATCTGTCCTTTTTGCTGCAGGTGTGGCAAGCAGGAAATGGAGGGCGACCTGCACCTCAAACAGGCTAACTCAAGCACATTGGCACAGACGCTGGACAGCACGGCTTAGATCAGGTTTGGTTGTCTGTGAAAGCACTAGAGAAAACTCACCACACTGTGTTCTTAGTCTTGTTTTGGCTCGCTACAGAGGGCACTGTGGGCCCTGAAGTGTTAAGCTTACTGTTACAAAATGTTCACAGTTAAACAAGATTGATAGGAAAATAGCTTCTCCTCCTTGATGTTGTTTAATTGTACGCATTATTTATTTTTTCTTTTCAATATAGAAACAATAGCTGCATCCTAGTCAATGATTTTTGAGTGTAGGTGATTAAAAATAAACCATAAGTGATGAACTGTGAACATTGTTTTTTTTTTTTTTTTTGGATAGAAATCCTTTCTTATATTTTTACGTGTTTTTATGTTTTATTCCCGCCAAGCTAGTTGATAAAGGAAATATGTTAAGTTTGGGCCTCTTCTTTGTCTAGGGTGCAGCTGATGAACATTTTTTGATTTTCCTAGAGTGCTTTCTATAAACAACCAAAAATTATTTACTAAATGTAGCGTGTGATGTAATGTGATTGTCACTGCTGTGTGTGGCAGTGACGTCCCCCATGTCCCCTTTTTTCTCCCTCATGTCATCTTCCCTTTATCCATAATCCATAATGATAATTAAACTTCTGTGTCTACTGGCACAAAACAAATACTTCTACTGCCTTGCACTTTTTTTTTCATCTACTGATGCCTGATAGACTTTCAGCAACCCTGAAGCCTGATGCGAGCCTTTTTATTTATTTATTTTTTGTGGCTGAGATGCTAAAACTCAGTGGTGGAAAAATTGTGAAACTAAAAGAAAGAAGGGAAATGTTAAAAAGCTTCCAGTTCTTTTTAACCATTAGTTACAAATTTTAATTAGAAAAATATTATAGATTTTTTATTTGTAAAGATTTGAATAATTTGAGCTGTTATGTAATATAGATTGGAAAATATTTAAGTCAAATGAAAACAAAGAAATTTTGGGCACAAATGTTTTTTTTGTGGCACATGACTGTAGATATTTATTATGCAGCTCTACACTTTGGGAAATTCATTAGTCACGCTTGCTCCATTCCATGAAAATACATTTGGGCATTGATTTTGATTCACTGCAACATTGCTGTACTCGGAGAATGTCAAGTCTTGTTCCTCCAATGTTGGAGCCCAGTGACTCCCTGGTGCAGTAAAGCGAAGATTTCTCAGTTTTTTAAAAACTCCTGGATATTGCACATTTTCCTCCATAAAACGATTCACCTTACATTTAGGGTTGGATTATATCAAATCCTTAAAGTTTTGCATCTTTTCGCTTTTTTAACATTACAGTTTCTAAGGGAATAGCTCAAACAAATGTTTCATTTTTTCTCTCATCTATATTGTATTCTACAATGTCCAGATACATAAAGCTACAAATGAAAAAATATTTTCAACATTTTTGATCTGCTGACATTTTTTTCAAATATGGTGAGAACAGTTTGAGGGTATTTAAACTTCATCTTACCATTTTAGAAATCTATGTTTTGTATCACTCCTCGACTGAGTTGTCACCAAGCACAAATTTCTGAATGAACATTTAAACATTTTCCTGCTGAATTAATAATAGCTTTAACTTTTGTCAAGCTATTTATCCTTTTTACTGCATGTAATTTAACTTCAAATGTGAGACTCTAACTCTCCATGGTTTTGTCTTTGCACCTTGTTGTTGGTGAAAGGGAACGTCCACCAGTCTTAACCTATGAAATGATGCTGGAATTGCATAATTTCAAACTGCAATTCCAACATCAATTTCCTCAGCAGCTCTTTGTTCAGAGGATCAATGTGTGAAACTGCAGTGTGAGCCAGATATAATGCTACTGATACAATGCATTTGTGTGTGTATGAATACATTGTGCACTTACCACACAGCATATACACAATAACATGCTTAGTGGAATTCAACCGATTTAGTTTGATATTGTTTTTTTTTTGTTTGCTAAATTGTTTTTCTACCAAACGCTTGAGTAGCTTGAACATGCAAATCACATTTGCAGGATTGCTTCATGCATATCTAATGAGCAAAACAGAAGCTATCACATTAGCAAAGACTCAAACTTGCACCCAAAAAAAAAAAAAGAAAACAATCTTCCAGCTTATTTGTTTCATTGTAAGCACTTTAAATGACAGAAACAAGATGTCTTATTCTGATAAGCTTAAATGTGATTAATAATCTGGATCTGCAGGTTCATGGACATAAAATATCCAAATCCACACACAGGCTGTGTTGCACAAATCTTTTCATGTGGTGTTAATTAAATTGACTGGTTATGCTTTTCATCTGAAGTACTTTAACTAAAGAAGAGTCCAACTAGAAGTGCAGACAGCCAGGCTGCTGTTTACCTCCCTCTGACTGTCGACTTCCACCAGTTTATTTGAACTCCTTCCTCTTGGATGCTTATAAAAGCACTTCTGTTGTAAGCTGTTAAAGTAAAACTGTTATCATGGTTGCTGAGCAAAATAATGTGCCAGAAATAATTAACGCTTGTGTGAAGAATGCTAAAGGGTAAAGTTTAAAGTTGAAAGCTTCCATGGGACCAGAAACAACCAAACATGATGGCTCGTGATTTTTATTTTTTTGTTTGTGTTTGATGTTTAAAATCCAAACCTTATTTGGATATATATATATATATATATATATATATATATATATATATATATATATATATATATATATATATATATAATTGTGTAGCGGAAGACAAATTATGCATTCAGAGGAGGTAAAAGAAAATTCTGAAAAGCTGCATTGCAGTTGAAAGATAATTATTTTCCATCTCTGTCCATGTTGAGGGAAATCTGAAGAAAGCATTCTCTCTTATTTGATTAGAGCACCTGTTCTCACGTTTGCTGATTTTCCCCATCATGGCCCGTAAAAACAAATAAAACTGGTCACTCTTCCATAAAGGCCAAATTTGTGAAGTACATCACGAGGACCGATTAGAAATACTTTGCAAGACTCTGTAAGCACAGACGGATTCTCAGCACACCAAAATCAGAGGTTACTGAGATATAACCTCTGAAATGGAAGATGGAGGGTGAAAGTCACAAGTGATAAGGATGATGAGAAAGCTTAAGACCATTATGTTTTTTATGTTTTCTGGGAACATGGCTTGTAACCAAAATAAATAGTGAAAGGTTGGCTGTAATATTGATTGGATGTGGTGGGAAACATAGAAGCATTATACTGAACCTCAGCCTGTTTCAGTTTTAACTCAGCCAGAAAAAATGAGCTTGGCTGTGTAGTTAGCATATCTGGAAGTATCACTGAATCATTAGGATGAATGGACACAATTCAAAGATTTAATCTGGCTTCACTTCAACAGCTGCTCAACTGAGCAGTGAGAATCATATTAAACAAGTAAGGATGTTGCCACAATACACACATACTTGCTGTCTACTTCATAAATGCAGGCTTCTGTGAGCCTGGTTGTGTTTTCTAGGTGATCATGAATAGCCTGGTTCTTGTGAATTTATAAATGCTTTGCAAGAGCAATTAAAGCTCTTTTCATAGCTTTCCTACCATCATTTTTTATTTAGACTCACAATTACGTGCTGTGCAGGGACTTAAAAAATGTCCCATCTCAATAAAGCTTCAAGACTAAATTAATTTAAGACCATTTAATTACAATATAACATTTATTTTGAAACAATAACATTGGCTAGAGCGTTGCACAGTCCTCAGCGGATTTCATTTGTTGTCAGATAATTGAAAAAAAGTCAATGTGAAGCAAACAAAAACAGTTTTTTTTAACATATAATAAATATGTTTCTACTTTTCTAACTGTATCAAGGACATTTCCAACAGTTAAGGCTGTCTGTTAAACTTTATAATTTCCCATTTATTAATCAAAGGGAGATTTTAACAAGTGGAATATTTTTGTGAAAAATCAAGACTTATTTTTAATTTCAAAGTGCTACAATGTGACACTGTGATTTCTATGTTGTGATAACCAACCTATATTTAACTTCACCAATGGCTATTTCTGTTCCAATTTTTGTTTCAGTGCACTGTTCCTTTAAAATATGCAGCGATGACTGATGAATAATTTTCAGCTCACCACCCTGCCTTCTGCCTCTGGTGGTCACTCAACTGGTATAAAACTAACTAAAAGGAAATTACTTTGCCTTTTAAAAGAGTAATTCTGGGAGAGAAAAACAATCACAAGTTCAATATGTGTTGTTTGTAGCAGTCTGCACAAATTCACAGATTTTTAAATTCTTTTTTTCTTTTCTGTTCACAAAATTCAGTTTTCAAGTTATCTCAGAATTTGGGGAAAAGATACAGGGGACAGGTGACACAAATAGCCTTTTCTTTTTTCAAAGGGCTGTATTTTATTCTATCTGGTGTAGAACTTGCATATTATACTAAAAGTAAGAGATAGTGTTAGTAATGTAATGGTCTTGAACTGTTTGCAGCCTCTGTGCTCCACAATCTTTACAAGAAAGTTGTGAGACAGGAAGTCTGGCTCTCAGTTTGAAAACCCAAGACCAATTGGGCCACGCCACGTTTGTCCTTAAAAGTTTTGAAAGATGAAATTTTACATTTAAAGAAAAGCAGTCCAAATCTGAGGTGATGATGTCTTTCACAGTCATTATGTTTTCAATGACGACTGGTTCATCTCATTGCTTCGTCAGTGACTAAACAGAAAACCCAAATCGTTATTTCACACACATTAACAATGACACGCAAATACTAGCTAATTGCATTCTATAAAATGTAATTTTCTTTTCATATTTTCTAGGTTGGCACTTTCATAAAAGATACATCAGCAAAGTAAACATGATAAATCTGTATGTTTGCTACATAGACGTGTCAATGAATCAAGAGATTAAATGGCAATATTGTAAAGACAGATGCTTTGTTCTTCTTTGTTGGTTAGCAACTGTTGCAATAATGGATCAAATACAGAAGCCTTAACTAAATCCTTGTTGCCATGGTTACTCGCCGAGCCGAAGGCCTGACCTTGGGGTCGTCAGCTGTTGAAACAGCACAGTAATTTAAGGCACATGTCCTATAATTTCACTGGAATCACTCGGTGACCTCTGCAAGGAGTTTCATCGAACCGTAGCGCTCGATCAAGACGACAGCAAATAATTCAGCAACAGTGTTGCTTGCCAATCACAGCGTCAAGAAGTGGCTCTAAATTAGTTCTGTGGTATCCCAGTTGTCTGAGGGGAGTGGTGGAATGACAGGGTGAAAAATGAATGAATAAACTTAGAAAGTGCAACCAGTTTGTTTTCAGTATAAAATAAACCACGCTATTAAATGATTAGTAACGCTTTGTTATATATATCATAACTTAAGTTATGATTTATATAACAAAGAAAGCAATGGTAGAATGTTTTTTTTTTATTAGACTGCTTAAATTTACTGTGAATACTAAATCATGTAGGTGAAGGTCTTAGCAAAATGTGCGAGACAGAGAGTTACTGCATACATTTCACAGCAGGAGAACTATTATTACAAAGAAAGTCACCTTATAAATCTATACATTGTCATTTATTTTATGAATGGAACTGACCCTGACAATAACTAATTCTAATTCTGTTTTATTAGTTAAACATGTTTAGAATAAGAGGATATTTAATGTACAAAACATTTGTTTCATAAGAAGCAGCCTGGACTAAGTTTAGCTAATTCCCTGTTGAGTATCATCCAGGAAACCTGATTTTACTTCATATTTTTGTTTGCTATTACACAAACAAATACATTATTCTAAACTTCTTGCTGATGTTCAATATTAATAACCATTTCACTGAAAAATAAAAAGAATTTTCTAGTCTTGAGTTTTTCAGTGTTTATAACGCTTTTGCCTTTTAGCTGTTAACTGCTAGAAAGAATTATTCATATAATTTTTACAAGCACATCAAATAATAGCTGGTTTGCCTCATGCTATTTTTTGACACGTCATCCTTTAATAGACAGCATACAAGACCTAGAACAGACTTGGTGTGTGCAACTCTACCTCCATTAGTATTTTGAGAAGCCCAGTGGTGAGTGCAAATATGTGGGTCAGTTGTATTGGAAAGGCTTTGGTCGCAGTTCCAGTTTTTCTCTCTTTTTCTTTTCCCAGAAATCTGATCTGAACCTACTTTGTTGCACAGACACACCACCACTAGATGGCAACCTTGTTTCTCGTGTGATTTGAAAAAACGTTCTTGTTACTTTTGCCTCCCATTCCTCCCCCTTCTGCAGAAGACCATCTCTCCAGTGGGAGGCTGGGGGGAATCCTCGATTTAGGGCTCTGTGGTGAAATCTCGGAAAGCTGGAAGCTCGTTTCTGCCCAAAATCCTTCAGCTTTCTCCTCATTCTGTTTTTTTTTTTTTACTATACATCCTCTGTCTTACATATAATTAACTGTAAAATGAAAGTCAAGAAATCAGTTCAAACTGTAAAGTGATTTGATTTATTTCATTTTGAGTCATTCAAGGGAAATGTTACTTTTTCATAAGAAATAGAAATATCTTAAGACATTCAGACACATTTTTTTTTTGTACATGACAGGTACTGGCTATGTGTGAATCACAACCAGTCACAACGCCAAAGTTACAACATGCACTGAACAGTAGAACACTTATACAGAAACAACAGCATAGAAAGTCAATGGGTAAAAATGTTCTGTGTTTTTTTTCTTTTACAAAACAGACAGCCTCGAGACCTACAAACAACATCGTATAAGAGCTGGCTAAGGTCGTTCAAATATCTTGTTTTTTTTTTATTATTTCTATTTTTTATTTAATTCCCTGGAAAGAGTGTGTACTTTACAAAGATCAATGGCTTAGGCAAGGTTGGGGTCAATTCCACTTGGAGTGTAAACCTTAAAAAAATATATCTGACATTTTGTGTACTCCTGTTGGTTTTATTGTACTTCCATTCTCTAATATGTGGTGTCGCATGTGATGAGTGTACTCCATCAAGGCATCTCGAATCAACCCCAACCCTGTGATACAGTGTTAGATTCAGTGTGTGCAGCTTATAAAAAAGATCCTTACTGGGGTTTTAAAACTACCACATGCTCTTTAAAGGACCTGTGGGGTTCTATCAAATAAATGCAAAAGTCTTTATTTTAAACTTTGAAATATATCAGCTAACAACCTAATTACACTTTAGCTTTTAACTTAATGAATTTATCTGTACACTTGGAAGTCTTAAAAGACAATTGAGAGTATGGTTATAATGAAAGAATCTGTGCTCTTCTTGATTTTTTTTTTAAACTAAAGTCAAACAATCATAATTTAGTCTTTTAATTTGAGTAAATATCTCTACTTAGAGGTGAAAAAATTAAAAGGTGCTTCACATGGTTTGTTTCATATTGGTTTCCATTAAAAATGGAGCACCCTGGCATGCCTTAAAGAGATGACTTTTTTTTAAAGAGGGTTCTGTGGACAATAAGTAGAGGTCAGTATCTTCCCTGATTCATTTATTTTAAAAAAAAAACTCCAACCTCGAAAATTACATTATGATAATGAATAATTGGACCTTTTTGTATTAGTACGATTCTGATTAATTTGATTATTGATTTTGATGTACCTAGATTTGAACTGAATATTCTATATCTTGTAAAATGTTTGAAAATTATCATTTCTTTTAACTTTATAAATAAACTGAACTGAATTGTTCAATCTTCAAACTATATAAATATAGTTTATATATATAAATATAGTTTGAAGATTGAAGATTGGTAAAGCAATAAAATAATTAAATTGAAGTTTTAAGATGACAGACATTTTGAAACTGAAGCAATCATTAGCTTGATTTTCAATGCCAGAAATAATCTTTCTCCAGTCAGATATTTTGAAAACTTTTTTTTACACAAGATACTAACTGCCTACAACTATTCCACATAACCCCACTTTAACAACCCCAAATGATTTTGCCAGCAAATAAAAACAAATTTAATTGTAAGAACATACATTGAGTAATAATATGTTTGCTCTGTGTCACAGTATTACAGTCAAATTAAACTTGTTACCTAGTGTTTTCTTGGTCAAAAAGATTAAAAGTATCAACACTTGTTGGGATTCTGGTGCTTATTTCAGCAAGAGTGTGTTTGTGCATGGCTGTAAATTTGTATCTCCACAATAAATCTCAATTCTCTGAAGTAGAGCTTGCTGCCTTCTGATGAAATATTGATTGTCATCATTGTTCAGAGATATTTCAGCAATAATGGTCCCTGACTATACTGTAGTATAGAAAACACACATAAAAGGGTCACATGATGCTTCAGGAGCAGTGTTTGTTTTATATATATAATTATAATTTTTTTTTTAGGTTACATTGTTAACTTTAAAGGACATCTGTGACTGTCATATAATGAAACATAATTTCTTTTTAGGGGTCACCGTATAGTGAAAGATGACATATATTTGACTGCTGGTTATGAATGATTAGCAGCTGTTTTTACAGAAATTAACCATTTAAAATCATCAAATTCGATGTACGCACACATCAAGAACAGAAAGCACGTATCCATGAATGTAAACAAAGCCATTTTCATTGTCCATCTGAGGAAATGTGCATGGCCTTCCAGCAGTTCTTGTGCAGCAGTATTCAAGTGTTAGACCTATGGCAATGTTTTATTAGATAGTAGCAGTATGCATACTATAACTGAGCACTTGTTAAAATAACAGTTTGATTTTTCTCCCTAAATATAAGATACTGAAATACAGATTGGATCGTGTAGCATTTTCCCTACATACATGCCATTTTCAATAGAAAATTTTACTTTTGTGTCATGGCGAAAAAACAATATAATTTTTTTCTCTTTATAATTTGGATTTCAGAATTATATTTTGTTTCAGCTAAAATAGCAGATGTACTTGGGAAGAAAACAAAATCAGGAATCCCACAACACAAACACACATTCCCATCAAATACAGTTCATTCTTTTCCATTAAGCAGCGCCCTTGCTGCTTTAATGCTTCCCAGTGGTAACGCACACACAAACAGGCTCGGCTCCCCTCGGCTCCTCACAGTCATTGCTATTCCTTTCACACCTCAGCTACTCTCAGTAAGGGAGAGCAATATGAAATGGTCCAACTCTGTGATTAAAACTGAAAACAGAATCTGGATTTGTGATTGGACTTTTCACCACAAGACAAAAACATCTAAATCAGTCCGAATCTGTTATTACTTTTAAAAACTACATTCATTCTAGTCCAATGGCTTTTTTACTTACCGTTTCACCAGTTGGTCTGCGTCTGGAAATGACTTAGATGCTTTTTTTACAAACATGTTTGTTCCCATAAACCTTGATGTGATGAAAGGAGACATATAAAAATGACAGAGTTTAAGGGAAGAAAATCTACCAAATGTAGCCCAGAAATGTTGGAGGGAGGATCGACTTTACAAGTCCCTGAAACTCTGCGGAAATTTTAGGTTTCCTCATTATGTGTTTTAATGATGGAACTGGGAAACACAATACTGATAGATGACAGGCAAATTGTTATTCAGTTTTTCTTTGTTGAATTATTTCTTTCTTTGCTGTAAATGAAAAAAAAAAATCTTGTTTTACATGTTTTTATTTTGGGCTTTTTATCTAACGTCTGTTACTGACATTTTTTTCCCACCTAACAGTCAGACAGTATTTTGATTTTGTTATACTTTGTGAAATTGAACTATATCTATTGATTGTGTACTACCAAACTTTCATTTGCTTTTAGGGATTTTTTTGTGTGTATTTTATGAGCTTTAAGTGTACTTTCTGCCAAATGTTCAAACTTTTGATTTACAGTATGACTATGTCCTCTGACTATGTGTTGAAACTTTTTTTTTTAATGAATGAGTGACTTATGCAGGGGATGTAGCAATTTGTTCAACATGACTCTGGACCTGATTTACTAAATGACAGTGTGATCAAAACAAAACCAAACAAATTTAATTGATAAAAACCAGAGTTTTATCATCTAAACAATTTACAAAGTCTAACAAAATCAAATGTTGCCATTCAAACTGGTCTGCCAAGCAAGTAATATCACACAGTGCTGAGTAGCTTGGCCATATTATCTGAGGGTTTTTTGTACTCATGTAGAGGAAAAGTTGATTAGACAGTAAAAAACAGCAGATTCTCAAAGACCATTGCAATCTGCCACATAATCTGCATTAATTTGGATGTCTCATAAAATCTGGTGGTATTTGTTCTGCAAAAGAAGATTCAAAGTAGTAGGAGTTGCTGCTGAATTCAGATAAAGAATGCAGCAATGCCACATAAGGTATTTCAACCTGCTTTCCACTGATGTGTTTGTGGAGTAGCTGCAATCTATAAATAATGTTAAAGCAGCACATATTATGATGATAGAATATTTGAAAAGATATAAAACAGGTTGTCCACTTTGTTAGGGGAGCACTGACCTGAGCTGGCATGCAGGATGGGAGTGAATGGCAACCAGAAGTGTATTGTGGATATGAAATATGGAGAATCTTTTTAAACGAAGGATTATGCTCATTATAATTTTAGGCCAAAGTTGTAATTTTTGATGCTTTTGTCTTTTGTTAAAAAGATTAATTATGGCTGTCGCTGTACTTTATTACTCAAGAATAATAATCAGCAAGTTCTGAATTCCTTGCTAAATGTTCTTCTATCCATCATTTAAAAAACACATAAATCAATGAAAGAAAATATGCTTGCTCTTCTCCTTTAATTTAGGCCTAGCTTAGTGCTGTCAGAGTGGTATAGACTGAGCAAGAATGGTGCATCTGCAGACCCTCATGGCCTTACTTGTGCTTGTTATGCACTGTAAAAAGGATTTGGTCCCTTGCACATTTTGTTTGTTTATGTGTGTTTTTTCTTCTCTCACTTAAATGTCACCAAAGGATTTTCCAAGCTAACAAAATAACCCGAGGAAATACAAAATGTATTATTCAAATGATGTTTTCCCTTATTAGACGGGGGGGAGTGACAAAAACAATGTGGCGCTATGTATAAAAGTAATCGCCACATAAACCTAAAAGCTGGAAGAAAACTCTGCTCTCAGGTGTTTAAGTGAACTGACAAAGAGACTTGTATTTCCCAAAGGAGAAATTTTGGGCCACTGTTCTTTGCAGAATTGCTTTAATTCAAACACAATGGATGGTTTTTTTTGCATTATGCCTTGTTTAAAGAAAAAAATAGTTTGAAATTGTTTTTACTATGGTTCATGTTGTTTAAATTCCCCTTATATAGTCAACCCTAAGGGTGGCTGGTCAAATTTCCACCCTTGAACAAAATTAATGTGGTTAATCACACATTAAATAAAAAAAAAATAAAAAAACGTCTGACAAATAAAATCACGACTTGAACACATATTTTTGTATTCCTACTGGTTAGTCGTACTACATGTTAAAAAAATTTGGGTCATGTCTTTGTTGATCACCTTATTTGCCTCTATGAAGGTTTATTCTGTTGGGCTTACTGTGTACTGCTTAATGTGTAAATTATGTAATCTGAACATGCTTAAGCATGTCAAAAAAGCAACAGAAACCCCTGAAGAAATGTGTGAGGGACTGTCACCTTTTTACAGCACTGTACAGGGCAGTGCAAACAAGCCGGTGAATTTAGTTATATGAGGTATGATATAAAAATACAAAATGTTGGATATGGAGCGTTTGCTGAACTTCACAGATTCTTACATCATAAGTTTGCAATGACACATTGTTCATAAATAACACAGTGAGGAGTGAATTTGGCATGCAACTATCATAGACTCCTGCCACATTATGGACATGTCTTTAATCAGTGAGGGCTTTTATATATGCCTACAAGCATCTGTGACATGCAGACCTCCAACACTAATTAAGAAACCTTTCCTTTCCTCTTGAAAGCAATGTTGATTGAATCACATCTCTATGGAAAATATCAGTATCTATGTAGCATGTGGCTATCTTCAGCAGGCTTGCATGTGAGGGTATGTGCATTTGTGAGTGAGGATCAAATCTGGTAACTATATATAAAATCATATTTGAACATAGTGAGTGCTTATAGAGTTAATTACGTTTAGAAACAAGAAGGAAAACCTTTTTTTTGTTCTTGTGTCCTATTCAACTATTTAAAACTTAAAGTCAGTCAAATCAAAGCTGACACACGCTGAGAATCTGTCATTCAAATGTAAACTTCATGTGAGTACATTGTAAAACATTACAAGATAAGTCTACTTTAAACATTTCTTTAACTGTTTTCACTGCCAATTCATGTTTTTATGTTGCTGTTGTGGGAGCGTGCATGTGCTTTCTCTTTATGCAGCAATTGAGATGTTTCTCATTTTTCTTTAACCAATATTTCAGCTAAGGTCCATCTTTACCCTCATAAAACTTCATACAATGCTAAAATAAAAACATCCAGTGACAGATGTTCTGTAGTCATCCATTCCATACACAACATGTAAACCTAAAAGATAGCAGGACAGATGCTAAAAATAGGCCATGAGGCCCAGGCAATAAAAAAATGAGTGGGATCCTGTGATAACTACAGACCTTAAGCAAAGACATTAAATCTCATACATAAAAATCTGACATTGTAGACAACCAAATCACTTCTGTATAAGGGACTTTCTCTTATCTATAAAAAAATAAATCAGGTTAGATTGTTTTAAGATTTTGTTTACATCAGGTTCTCATAATTCACTCATTCATATTCAAATTACCTCACACACGTATGCACATACTTGCAAATGTAAAGGATTAAGGCCAGGTTTGGGAATGGAGGGCACAATATGTTGCTTATAGGCTTCTAGGTCCTCTGGTATGTCTCCAATAATAATAATAATAAAAAAATGGGAGTCACTACAAGAATGTGGACTTTGTTTTTTTTATGGAACCCTTTGGCTGAAATCATTATTTTGTTGTGTTACTTCCAGTTATTTCCGTAGCTCAATCTCTCTGCTGACTCTGCATTTTTAAACAAACCCACTGGCTATTTGGGGATGTTCTTTAGTTTTGTTGATGTGAAATACAGCACACAGGAATGAACTCAAAGGAGGGGCAGTGACATTCTCCAACTTAAGGTATTTTTCTTCCAAAATATTCCCAACATGTATTGACATAGCTTGTTGCCCTAGAGGCATGCTCAGGTTATTTGTGAAATATGAGAGCCTTTTTCTCTATACCTTTCGTTGTCTCTAGCTTATTGAGTAACTCTGTTTGCCAGGTGTATTTGTCAATGACTATATGTCCACCTGCGTTCCATGTGTCTCTGATAACCTATACTTCAAAGGCCTTTGTCCAAAGTATTTTGTCGTCCCCTCTCAGCCTTTGGTTTACGTGCTGGGTCAGGTCCTATATGATTTTCATGAGCTTTCCCACGAATACCTTCAAGAGGAAAGTAACAGTTCTGACCCAGCATCTTTTGCGCTGTTTCTAAATGGTTAGTCCCTCTCTGGTAATGTATGTTAATACTGCGTTTTGGGCTGCCACCAGCCAGTAGATGGTCTGAGGGACTGGCCTCAGTAATGTCCCGGAGGTGCTCATCGTCATCCGTATCAGCATCGATGTATTTGCTGATTGAGGAGTCATGGAAAGTGAAAACTGTAGGGGCCATGGCAGTGCTGTCTGGTGACTTTGGAGGGGTCCTGCTGCTGGCAGTGGTGTACACAGATGCTTCAGGACTCAAAAGAGACTGGTCTGAGACAACTGAGCTGTCTGAAAGTGGGGATGGCCCCGAATCCCCGTCGCTACGGCAGCCTCCTTTAAGGCTTTTTGAGGAGTTTCCTGAAAACAAGAATCTTCTTGTGTTCTCTGGGCCTGAGGATTTTGATCCTGGACTCAGCACAGACTCATGCTGCCCTATGATTTGATGACCCATTTTTTTACTAATGTGTTGAGACAAAACTGTAACTGGACCAAAAGTAAACCGGCTGCTTTCTTTAAGACCAATGTCTGCTGCTGGACTGTGGGAATAGCGTGGATTCTCTTGGAAGTCTGTAGCACAACTGATGTAGCTATCTATACTAGACAAGCTTTTCATGTCCCCCACTCCATCTCCGAGCACTGATGGCCCATGGTCATGAATGGCTCCAAGCTCTATCTCATCTCTCTGTTTGCTAACTCTGCACCCTCTGTCTTTTGCATTGAGGTTAGGTTGTGACTGTGTCTTTGCCATCTGGCTATACATCTCTTCTAATTTCTCAACATTCAATCTTTGGGGACTGGTGTCTCGAGCTTTGCAGGGAGAGCCTATTTCTTGGGCATTGAAGGAACGGTTTGAACTTGTCTCTGATGCAGCTCTTTTGGACGCCCATTTCCAGTGACTTGGGGACAGGTGGTTGTCATGAGGTCTCTCACTCTTTTCTACTACTACATCCATGAGCTCTGCACTACGAGCAAAAGCTTCCTTTAAGTTCATAGAAACAATGCTACCATTTCGTTTTGCCCTCTCAAGAGCCTCCCTTCTTTTAAGGGCTTTTTCTTGCCTTTTCTGCTCCTTATAGAACTCGGAGAAGTTATTCACAATAATGGGAATAGGTAGCGCAATTACAAGCACTCCAGCAATACAGCACAATCCCCCCACAATCTTTCCCAACAAAGTTTTGGGATAGATGTCTCCATACCCTACTGTGGTCATGGTGATGGTGGCCCACCAGAAAGAAGCCGGAATGCTTTTGAACTTTGTATCCTCTTCATCTTTCTCGGCAAAAAATACAAGACTAGAGAAGATCATGATACCCATGGCGAGGAACAGAATAAGCAGGCCCAGCTCATTGTAACTTCTCCTGAGTGTGAAGCCCAGAGACTGAAGTCCTGTAGAGTGGCGAGCCAACTTTAGGATACGAAGGATACGCATAATCCTGAAGATCTGAACCACACGGCGGACATTCTGAAACTGCAGCACACTCTTGTTGGACTCTGTCAGGAAGATGGTGACATAGTAGGGTAGAATTGCCAGCAGGTCAATGACATTGAGAGGACCCTTGAAGAACTTCCATTTATTGGGAGACGAGAGAAAGCGAAGTAGGTATTCCATGGTAAACCAAGCAATACAAACAGCTTCCACATGTGCTAGCTGTGGGTTGTCTGTGGACTGGCCGAACTCATCTGTGCCCTGAAGCTCTGGAAGGGTGTTCAGAGACAGAGCAATGGTGGATAGCACAATGAAGAGAATGGAGATGATGGCCAAGATCTGAAAGACAGAACAAGAGAAGTAACATGAGAAAAGATTGCACCATTAGGGAATTAGATAAAATACATAAGACTTGAGATGAAAGAGGAGAAGACACTTACACTGGCAAACTCTATATGAGAATGCCAGTAATTGCTAAGAAAACAAGAAATCCATTGCAAAGTCGTGTGCAATTACATCGAGTAGAAGTAATGGGGTATTTTTTTAAATTTTTGCTGTGATATAATAACATTTTGAAACTTTTGAAATAGAACCCACTTTAAACCTATTTGTTACTTTACTTATTCTCAGATTTAAATACACCTTCAATGTATTTATTAAAGGTCAGGAAGACAGTATGAAAGGCAGTGAGAGAATGCTGATATTATCACAGTATAAATAAATCTCCAGTAAATACCCAGCAGAGTGTGGGACTGGCTGACAGCAAATGGACTGAACTCGGTTGGACTACTTATTTATTTATGACCGACTTATCTAGTGTACTTACATCAGTAAGTGTGCTTGAGTGAACAATAATGGTTAGCAATCTATAAAATCCCCATTGCATCTGCGTGTCTGGTTGAGGTGACATATTTAGTAGCCAACACTTTCATAAATATAACTAAAAGAATGGGATTCCAAATTTGTTAAATAAGCAAACACAAGCATGCATGTGTGTCTTCATGCTTGGTTGTTTCTCCTGTGTGTCCCTGCACTGGCCACACTTCTCTCCCACTGACTGCAATAGACAGATGTAGTAGAAAGTTAACTTTCATGTGAGGTGTGCACGAAGTTAACCCCTCCTGTTAAAGAAAGAATAAAGGCCAAAATAAAGATGGCAGTTTTTAAATCATTAATGTTGTTAGATGTATCATAATGTCAACCTTCAAATTAAAACATTTCAAATAAACCATTTAAAAAAAACAAAATAAATATGCCATTCATGACTGTGACAAGCATATGTAATCTTCTGCCAGAAATTGTTCCTTCATAGTTCAGTATATTATAGTCCTCCTGTTTCTGAACAGGCACTTATCAAAAGTTCCTCAGTTTTTATTTTTCCCAATTGAAATATGTTTATTTGTTTGTAAATGTTTTTATAATCTTAATGCAGCACTTAGATAACAAAATGCAGGGTGATGAGCATCCCTTGCCTTTAAAGAGTACAAGGAACAGCATTACTTCATGAACTGCTGTCTGCAGTGGATATATTAACCCTAAATCTCCAAACAGAACAACTTAGAGAGATGAGTAGGAGGTTGTTGCTAGAACATTGAGCCTGTTTTGGCAGTAGCCCACACACTAAAGGTTAGGATGTTATATGATGATGTAAATCAAAGGATTGTTAAAACGTTTTCCGTGCAGGGCAGCGTAGCATGGAGAGATATTCAAAACAGTGATTAAACATTCCGATCTTACTGCAGTTTAATTTGCTATACACAGAGTGCAGCTATTTTTTTTTTTTTAGGAAACTTTATTAAAACATTAATCAAGTCCATCTGTTTAATACTTATCAGAAATTCTGTTTGTCTAAATAAAGGAACACTCTCCCCAGTTAACATGCAATGGAAAATTAATCTAGTATTCAGATTCCCCAGAGTGTAAGAGCGGCTAAAAAAGCATCCTTATCTATGACCAATCAGAACAGAAGGATCCTGTTGCCATAGCTTCACGGCAGGCATGAATAATAGCCCTATCTGTTTATTTTCTTCCTTCTGTGTGTGTCTCCCCCCCTTCTCTTGTCCAGGAGCAAATCTATTTGAATCAAACACTTGAAGAGCAAAGAGGGTCTGGGACTGAAAGGTGAGGGTGAAGCTGACAGGGGCAGCATACAAGGGAAGGAGGTAGGGAGGCCACAGTGGAAACAATGATGTTGTTTAACACAAAATTATTCCCCATAAAGTAAATAACAGGATGTGCTGCTTGTGTTATCTGCTGCACCTTTGTAAACACCAGGTATTAAAGGTCATCCTCTGGGTAGGAAACACATCAGACTTGTAATAAGTCTCAAGGGAGACACAGAGGGGCACCGCTGACAGATTCCAAACTTAGAGCCGGGAGAGATAGCAGCTGAGGAAAGGCAAGACCAAAAAGGGGCCAGGGGTAATAGGATTGAGAGGCTATAAAAAGATTGCTAATGATGATGCACTGATGCTGCTGTGTAATGTTTTGGTGATGAGGTTAAGTTCCACCAAGAAACCCTGCACATTTCCCCCAGGATGCGGTGCCGTGGCCTCTGTCCTCTCTGAGCATTCATCCACCCTACACATCTTTACATTTGTCTTCCCTGGGTTGTTTTAATGTCAAAGGGCTCTAATTTCATAAATCCACTGAACTCCACAGCTGAGACAAACCTTTAAGCATACAAATGAGACCACAAACACACATCTAGAGTTAGAATAGAACTCTAGATGTGTGTTTGGGACGGGACTCAGGAAAGGATTAATGGCATCAATACAATTACAGGCTATTTATGAACAATATCTTGGCTCAGAAATCAGTTTGATCTGACCTGAATGGTGACAAGCCAATTAGAAACTCAAACTATAAGTCATTTTCTAATCGGTGAATGTGTCAGGTAGCTGTTACCAGCAACACTCTTCAATGTGGATGTTGTTATAAAGAGAAGAACACTTAGCAAAATACTTTCATTATCAGTGAGTTGTTTAAAAATTATATAAGAAATACAGCGATTTGAAAATCTATTTAAAAGAAAACTATTTTTAAAAATATGGTGAATTTGACTAAAGTGTAGTGATATTTCATAAAGATATCATTCAAATAAAAATAAAAGGTTCAGTGTTAGTAAGGCATATTTTTTCCTAAAGGTTACTTATGTCACTAGTTGCTACTAGTGAATCAATTCTAAATTGTTCTTTCTCTTGTAAATACAAGAAAAAACCTTAAGTAATGTAGCCACATTTACTGTGTTAATTGCTAGTATAAGATGCTAAGTTTAAAAGGTTATATGTTAACCAATTTTACGTTATTAAAGTAAAATATTATTAAAGTTTTATAGTCCCTGCTCTCTCACACAGTGTGTCATCATCTCTGAATGCTGGCTGCAATAAATTGTAATCAGCTAAAATGGGAGTCAATTAAGCTCAAAGCTTTACAAGAAAGATAGATCGGAAAATGGACATAAAACATTAAGCAAGCCATCAGTTTTGAAACCTTTTACAACAGACTAATGACTGACACGGCTGACTATGTCCTCTGTAAATAAATAAAAAATTAGTGCATGAACCCTGGTGGCCAACTAAAGGAAAGCTGTATAAAATTATGGAGGTATTTTTATTTGAGGGACAGCAGAAGACAACGTGTGCATGATAGATGGATAAAGAGAGGAGACACAGTGACAGGAAATCCCCCTGTGATGCTAAACAAAGCCGGATCTCACTGGTTTGTGTCTCTCCTGGCATATGGTACAGTGGTTCAGCAGACACAGTATTTCACAGAGAGTACCCACATCATCTTTGGGTCAAGGTGACACCAGAACCTCATTAGGCTGTTAGAGAACATGTGCTGGACCAAACCAAATATGCATATTTTATTAGAAAGGGTTGCATAAACTACACTGACTGCCTAGTCTAAATTCCATAAACACATACATTTAAAACTTACGCAACTGTATATTAATGCAGTTATTTCTGGACAATCTGCTGTGCCTCAATGACAACTCTGTAAAACATGCAGTGACCTACTTTTAGACTGGCTATGTCCCAGCAGCTGTGACTTTTTCCTTCTCTTGTAATATCGCTTGTTGTCAGGGATTTCACCATTTATATGTCTGTTCACCACTCACCTGGCAAGAAATCAACTTAACACTCCTTCTGTCTGTTTGGAAATATAAATACTTTCAATTGGGAGTTTTCACACACAAACACCTCTGAGTTTTAAAGAGAAAGAGAAAATATCAAGTGTGCTGCTATTGTGTCACAGAAAATACCTTGTTAGTGTCAGAAGTCTGTAGGAAATAGTCAGACTGATTTGAGATATTAAAACAACAGAAGCTCAAGTAATCATTCACTATTTGAGTAATGAATGCAACTCTGAATATGCAACACATCAAACTTGGAAGCAGATGAAGCAGAAGACATTGCCAGGTGTCACACCTGTCAGACAAGAACTGGAAACCAAGGATGAAAATTTACACAGACTCACAAAATTGAACAATAACAGAAAAAAAGGTGTTGCCTGTACTGATAAGTCCCTATTTCAACTGTAACACTGAAATGATTGGAACTTTTCATTAAAGATGGACAGAATACATTAAAATAAAACAATATTATCATTTATTCCTTATGATTTATAACATTACAAGGCCACTATTTGCTTTATTTCGACTCTGGATTCATAAAGCAGCTACACAAAATATTTGGGTGATGATAATGTCAATAGAAAATAATAGAAAACTCCAGGCCTAAGACTTGATTAGGTTTTCCTCAAAACTGTATAAATAACATGGAACAAAAGTTACAATTGTGGGTTAAAATTTACAAGTGATCCTACATATTGTAAGACACAACATTTATATTACAAATACAACAAGTACATTATTTAAGATTAAAAAATATATATATATAAAAAGCATGTACACGATTCCATTATTTGAATTTTTACTTAGAAGAATTTATGATTTCCATTGCAATGGGCTGTGACGTTGTTGGTGTGGCTTTTCTGATTTTATTCTTTTGCAGCAAAGTTACCACTACATTTTGTCAGCCCAACAGAAACAGTTTGGTTTTGAGGAAAAGAGTTATGTTCCCTGGATAGGATTTACATAAATATGGTTGAGCTTTCACTTAAATGGATGCAAAATAGCTCATTTAAATTTAAACTGTGACAGTGCCCAGAGAAACAAGTCGGCAAGTGGATTTACTTTCTAGTTTCTCGTTTCAGAAATAGATGTAAGTTTCCAGTTAGGTTTGCAAACATTTAGCGCCCACTGATAGGTTTCTCCATCAATCCCTCTGTTTACAGTTCTGTACAGTTTTTTAATGTCTCACTTGATTCTGATT